AAGCCATCATGCCTGTGAGGGAGGAATTCTCTGATGCATACATTATTCATTTTATGGATGACATACTTTTAGCTCATGCTAACCCATATGTACTTTTAAAAGTCTTTGATCAATTAGAAACTTCACTCACTGGAATGGGTTTGTACATTGCACCTAAAAAGGTACAAAGGACCTCTCCTTTTCAATATCTAGGTCATATAATTGAAGGACACACAATCCATCCTAAAAATTTACAAATAAGAGTCAAGGAATTGAACACACTTAATGATTTTCAAAAACTGTTAGGTAACATTAATTGGCTGAGGCCATCTTTAAAACTAACTACTGCAAATTTAAGTCCTTTATTTCAAATATTACAGGGAGATTCTTCTCCAACTTCTCATCGGCTCACAGCAGAAGTGAGAACATGTTTAAGAAAGGTTAAAATTGCTATTAAAAATGCTCAGCTTACTAGAATTGACCCACAAGAGCCTATATATTTGTTAATATTTCCAACTGCTCATGCTTGATATGGCAACCATTGGGAGTTATTAAATGGATCCATTTAGCTCACTCTTCTCAAAAGTCATTAAATTTTTTTTCATGATTTTGTTGCTCAATTGGTTATTAAAAGGCAGAATGCAAGTTTTACAGCTGGTTGGATCAAAACCTAATATTACAATCATTCTATTTTCTGCTCAACAGAATGATTGGCTTTTCCAAAATTCTAATACTTGGAAACTAGCTTTTGCTAATTTTCCTGGTCAGATAGAAAATCATTATCCTCTTGATAAAATTGTTCAATTTGCCTTAGTAACTGCATTTATTTTGCCAAAGATTGTGTGTGCACAACCAATAGATGGAGCACTAACAGTATTCACTGATGGCTCAAGCTCAAGTAAAGCAGGTTTTTATAGTCACACTCATAAGAGGTTATACAAACCTCATATACTTCTGCCCAATGAACAGAACTTCAAGCTCTCATTTGTGCTTTAAGTCATTTTAGAAATGAGCCCATTAATATTTATTCTGACAGCTCATATACAGTTGGAGTTATAAAAAATATTGAAACTTCACAAGAGTTATTTGTTTCATACCTTACAAAAGAAAATACAAATGCACCAACACCCACGTTTTTTTCACATTGATTTATTTCCATCATTTATGACAGACATGGAGTATATTAAATTTATGTAAAAGTTATAATCATTATCATACCATAGAAATGTGTGAAAAGTAAAATTAGAGATGTTTTATAGGCTACATATGGGCCCACACTAATCTTCCAGGGCCTTTAATGTCAGGTAATGATAAGATTGATAAATTGGTTGCTGCTTGTGAGTAAATGTCTTTGTATGACTGTGCACTTGCATCATCAAAATGCTTCTAGTTTACATAAAAAGTTTAATATTACTAGAAAACAAGCTCATCAAATTGTACATCACTGCCCCCAGTGTGTTATACACATTCCAACTTTACCATCTTGGGTAAATCCCTGTGGATTAAGACCAAATCAACTATGAAAGATGGATGTAACTCACATTTCTCAATTTGGTAAACAATGTTATGTACATGTAATTGAGGATACTTATTCTAGTTTATCTTTGCCACAGCCTGTGCAAAACAAAACAAAACAAAACAACAACAAAAAAAAACCTCAACAGCTCAACATGTTATTTCTCACTGCCTAGCTGCTTTTGCAGCATTAGGATGTCCTTTACAGATTAAAACTGATAGTGCACTGGCTTATGTTAGCTCTTTTTTTCAACAGTTTTGCCAAGAGTTTCATATTGACCATGAAACAGGTATTCCTTATAACCCTCAAGGTCAAGCTATTGTCAAACAAGCTCATTTATCTATTAAGCTGAAAGGGGGAGATAGGACTAGGACCCCCCCCAAAATAACCTCAATCATGCTCTGTTCATTTTAAATTTTTTAAACTGTGACTCAGATGGCAGCACTGCAGCTAAGCCACACGTGTCTTCCACAGCAGCAGGCCCTTTAAGCCAAGTTTGGTGGAAGGATTTGCATACTAGCAATGGAGAAGACCAGATCCAGTAATAATGTGGGGTAGAGGTCTGCTTGTATTTTCCCAGAAGGTGCTTTTCATCCTATTTGGGTACCTGAATGAACCATCAGGCATGGAGGACCTAGAACCAAGATTCAAACGACTGAGGACTGATCCAGAGACATCAGACCTGACTCTCACCATCAAGGGGAACTCTCAAAGAAGGAGGGGAAAGAAAATGGTTCAGAGAGACCCAGTGGTGAAGCTACCCTCATGGAAGCACCTGAAAAATCTGACACTGCAGGCTGAACAAATGATTCAATGGTGATGTTTGCCACAGTACTAGCTCTATTGAGCTGTCAGGTAAATGGGACTCAAGGAGAGTATTTTCCAGATCCACCTTTAGAACACACAGCAGTGTGGACTAGAGAATCCATCCCAGTATTTACTAATGACTCATATATGATGGAAGGACTTACAGACACCCATATTACTCCCATCCATGTGACTGGATTTAATTATTCTGGCTATAGTGCTCAATTACCTATGTGTTGATACTGCAATAAACATGCTGGCTGTCTAAAAGTGTCCTTTGAGGAAAAGACAGCAGTTGGGGGACCTAGACCTGCTAATCATACTGTCCCCAAAGACTCAAAGCCTCATATAAGATCATTATTATAACAGGACTTTCTCATAACAAACTAGTCATTTCAGCAGAACATCCACTAATACCTTACTGTCCTAACTATTCTATGATATAAATTGGCACCTTTCCTAAGTGGATGGATTGTGTAAATACTTTCTCAGTACAGCATAAGGTATCTAGAAATAGTGGATACATTTTAGACTGGTCTTCTAGAATTGACAAAAAGCAATAATGCAAGGGTGCTACCATGACCCCTGGAGGATTTGTTAGTAACATCTTGACCTTCAGTGAAGGTGGCATTCCCAAAGATGTCTGGTGCTTAATTGCTGGTGCAAAATTCTTACATTTTACTGATAAGCTTTTACCAGACTTTGTAGGCAAAAATTGTAAGGAGGGTTCCTGTTATGGCTTATGGGCCTGTGTTCAATTATCCTTATGTTTTAATTACTGGAAATGTTAAAGTTAAAAGAAAAGACAATAGATATCTTGTAGATGTAATAGTGTAATTTAACTAATTGTATCACCAGATATCATAGAGGGAAAGGAACACTAGTACTTCATCAGTCCTCTTTTGTTTTATTGCCAGCTAATATTTCAGAGCCATGGTACGCTGATGCTGGTTTTCAAGTCTTACAACAAATACATGTCCAGCTAGTGAGACCTAAACATGCTCTTGGACTCCTAGTATTTGGGAGTAGTTGCCTTAGTTTCTTTTATTTCCTCCACAGTCACAGCTTTGGTGGCTACATTCAGCATGCAAATTTTCTTAATAATTTGGGTCAGAACACTTCCAAAGCTCTTCATAATCAAGTAAATATTGATGAAAGGATTGAGACTAAGCTAAATGCCTTAGAAACTGCTGTCATAAATATTGTTAATGAGCTCTCAGCTTTGAAATTCAAGGAAAGACTCAAATGTCACATTGACTATATGTGTGTTACAGCTGCCAAATACAATGCTTCCCAATGGGATTAGGAGAAGGTTAAAAACCATTTGTTAGGTATTTGGCAGAATAATAATAACAGCTTGGATCTTTTGGAGTTACATCATCATATTCAAGATATACAAAACAGTAAGATGGGAGGAAGCTGTCCTGCTGCTGACTGCAATGGGAGCTATTGCTGACCAGGTGCAGAAGGCTGAATCTGTGGCCTAAGCCTGATGATTGGAGACTTCATCTATAATGAAAATAAGGGCATCTAGCCACTGATGCTCCAGAGATTCAAGTCATAGAACTCCAGAAGGACTTCTTTAGGAATGAGGTGCTCCCTTGTGTCCTCCTGTTGCCCCCTCCCCAACCTGGTTCCATCCCTCCTCATTCTGGCAGCTACCTGCTCCTTCCTTCCCATCCTACAGGCCCACAGACTCTCCACACCCACTCTGATGCCTCAGAGCTCCCCTCCTCCTTTTCTTCCTGCTGATCCAGGTTATCCAGGTTTTCTTCCCTTCTGGTCTCTCCTCCTTTCCACTTTGAATCCAGTCCTGGTTTCCCCTCCATCTCCATTTTCTGTAGACTGAGCTAGCTCCCCACCACCACAGTGGGCCCAGCTCCTTGCCTACCCAGCTCTCAGCCACCCAGGGCACAACTCGCCCAGTCTGGAGGCTTTAGTCAGCATCTCCCTGTGCCTCCCCCTACCTCCCCACCAGCACCTGCCAAGTTTGGTCTGGAGGGAGAGCTGGGCAGCCCCCAGAGTCCCTCAGAGCACAGTACATCCTGTGCTCCACAAGCCTCGCTGGGTCCGGTCTTCACCCTGGTCCTTCTTACCCACCGCCGTGTGGCTGCAGCCCCTATTCCTTAGGTTGGTGTGTGGGGGGGTCCAACCCAGGCCAGAGTCTCGGGTGACAGCAGCAGCAGCAGCAGCAGCACCAGCTGCGGGGTTAGGTGGCGACTTGGTATTAATGGAGGTGGGGGAAAAACCTCCCCTGACCTCCACTACCCTGAGCAGCAACACAGGCTCAGAGCGAGAGGACGATGATCAGAGCATCAGTATCAGCAAGCTGCTGATGCTGGCCACCACCACTGAGCTCCTGGGGCCCCGGGCTCAGGGAGATGTCCAGGCCGGCTGCCCTGTGCTGGCTACCTGCGTCGTGGTCTCCTCCTTCACCTCCTTCTGAAGCATGGCAGCGGCAGGGCTGTCCATGGTAGTGGTGCTGGCGCAGAGCAGTTGGCTGGACCTAGATCTTATCACCTTCACCGACCTGTCCTGATGATCCTGGACCACCACCCACCTGGTGGTGCCACAGATCCCTCAGCCAATCTGCATCTGCTCACTGTCTCCTCAGCTTCTGGGGACAGGGCCAAGGCCAAGATGTGCGGCTAACTCAGGGACTCTGGCCGCCACTGGGGTGACCTTGACAGTGGGCAAATTCACCTTCACCTACCTGGCTTGGCTCATCTACTCCATCGCCTTCACGCCCAAGGTGGTGCTTATCCTCGGCACGTCCATCCTGGACCTCATCGAGCTGCGCGCGCCCTTTGGCACCACGGGCTTCCGCCTCACCATGGCGCTGTCGGTGCCCCTGCTCTACAGCCTGGTGCGGGCCATCAGCGAGGCGGGCGCGCCTCCTGGTTCTGCGGGACCCCTGCTCCTGCAGCCCCAGCAACACCGGGCTGCTGGCTGCTTCCTGGGCACGTGTCTAGATCTGCTCGACAGCTTTACCCTGGTGGAGCTGATGTTGGAAGGGCGGGTGCCGCTGCCCCCGCACCTGCGATACCTGCTTATCTCTGTCTACTTCCTCACCCTTGCCTCGCCGGTGCTCTGGCTCTACGAGCTCAACTCCACAGCTGTGGCAGCGTCGTCCTGGGGCCAGGCCTCAGGCCCTGGCAGCTGCAGCCGCCTTCTGCGCCTACTGAGTGGCTGCCTGGTGGATGTGCCCTTGCTAGCGCTGCGGTGCCTCCTGGTGGTGAGCTTCCAGCAGCCCCTCTCCATCTTTATGCTCAAGAACCTCTTCTTCCTTGGCTGCCGAGGCCTGGAGGCCCTAGAGGGCTGTTGGGATCGGGGGAGTCGGACCTCCCCTACTCGGGCTAGGGGCAGTTATGGTGCTCCACCTTCTGCCCCACCGCCCCCGTCGCCACCACCTCAGGGAGGTTCCCAGCTGGGCCACTGCATCTCTGAGAACGAGGGGGGTCCCCATGGTTATGTCAACACGCTGGCTGTCGCTTCCCAGAATTGAGGGAGTGAATGAGAGGGAGCCTTGCTTTGAGGTTGAGGCCCCAGGCCCTGTGGCCTCAGACCTGTTCCCGGGATTTGGTTAGATTTTGTTGGGAAGAGGTGACTTTTACTAGGGCTGAGGGCCAGCACATCCTTTTGCACACTTTAGGTGAAGACAACTCAGAGGGAGCAGTAACCATGGGGGAGGTGGGTTCACTTACCCTTTGCTCCTTTTTCCATATCTTACCCCAATACTGACCTCCATGGGACTGGATGACTATGCTTCCTGCTTTCCCTGCCTCACCCAAATTCCCATCCATTGTGGGAGAGAATGGAAGAAAGGGGTTACCCAGGTAGGGGGCAGGTGCTGTGCCTTGGGCCTTTATCAGGCTCTTTTAGGCTGTTGTTAGTAGCCACTGACCCCCAATCCACTCTTCCCCTCATGTGCCTATTCCAGATGAAGATGGAGGGAGGGAAGGAGACGGGGATGGGGAAGATATATTGTTTCCTTGTGTCTACTTTGTGGCCCTTGCAATGAGGAGGTCGGGGGAAGTTTTGGGCCCCCAACCCCACTACCACCAACCTGGGAAGACGAGGAGGCTTGTGAATGCCACGCTGCAGTCAGCAAGGGAAGCCAGGTCTGTCACCTCCAGAATCTGCAGCACCCTGGGAGCCTCCAGTTCACCTTTCCCTCCACTGAAGCTCAGTTCTGGCTAAAAAGCAGGGCTGTTTTTCAGTTTCTATGTGAGTCCCATGGAAGAGGTGAGCAAAGCCAACCAGTGGGACACCCTGTTAGGTGAGGGCTCAGGGCGGGGGCTGGCCAGTGGCAGCTTGCCTCCCCTCCTCCTCTTGGGTCACAGTTACATCTGAAAGGATCCAGTAAGCTAGTTCCTACTATAGTGTTCACAACCCGAGGGGCTGCTCCTCCTCTGAAAGGAATCTAGGTACCAGGGCAGAGTGGGGGCATGTTGGACACGACTTCTTGTCACCCTTCACATCATGACGGGGGGTCTCCCTGTTCCATGAATGGGCAAGGCTGGTTCTACTGGGTGGCCACCTGTGTTTACCACCCTAAATAGACAAGAGTGAGGTCCAGTGCCAGGACCTGGGGAGGCCACCAGGCCTGGAGAGCTGGGGAGTGGCCTAAAGCCAGATGACCCTGGGAGCCATTGGCAGTGATGTGATGGGGGAAGTGGGGGCGCACACGTGGGTTGCAGGTAGGTGCTTTATATTCTTCTGTAATATAATCTATAGGCTCTATGTTGTGGCCATTTTCCCTCATGCACATATTCACTCAGTTCACACATTTATTGAGCACCTAACATATACCAAGAATTGGAGCATAGATTACTTTTATAATTTGGAAGAGCAAACACTAGAGGGAAGAAGCAATAAATAACAGCAGGAGAAGCAGCCAATCAGCACCCCAGGTCACAAGCTGCTCTGCCCCAGGATCAGGTCAGGGTTCAGAGAACCCAGGAGCCATTTGGCTTCCTGCGGAGGCAGGGATATACTGACCCAGGTGTGGCTAACATGGATCGGGTGCTTCCTGGATGTGGGACACCTCAGTGCCTCTGGTGGATTTCACAGACTCCTCACAACACCTGGTGAGGTGGGAACTCCTACCATGCCCAACTTAGAGTGACCTAGGCCTGAGGAAGATGGCCTAATTGGTCACTCAGCTGAAGAGCAACAGACCTGTGGTAACTGCCACCTCCCAGCACACCTAGACTCAGAGCCTGGCCTGCAGTTCTCTTGGACTCTAGATCTCCTACCTATCCTAGAGCTCATGTGTCTGGTGGCCCTCAGCTGGCAGGCCATCTCAGGAAGTACTAGGGAAGGACAGGGCCTCAAAGTCTCCTGATTTACTTAGGATGGGAAGACCCTAACTTCAAAGTCTACACACTACAGAATCAAAACCACCCACTGCATCCTAACTACCTCATCTTCACTCTTGTGCCCTATTTAACTGTAAAAATTAAGCAGAAACCAAGTAAAATTTGTTATATTTGCTTTCAGGGATCTCTGCTCAGATTGCCAGATGATGTTTAAGTGACTAAACAAAGCCTTTTTAAGACCTAGGGCTGAGGATGTCATTGAGTGGTAGAGCAGTGGCCTGGCATGAATGGAGACCCTGGGTTCCAGCATCACTCCAAAACCCAGGGATGCTGGTTTTATTTTGGGTAATAAAAATCTTCTAAAATTGATTGTGTTGGTGGTGGCCAATCTCTTAATATACTAAAAGTCACTGAGTTGTGAAGGGTCAATTGTAACTTGTGTAATATGTGAATTATAGCTCAATAAACATATTGGGGAAAGAGCAGGATGGCCCATGTGCCTGGAGCTACCCTGAGGCCCAGGCAAGTAGGTTGGCAGGGCAGTTGGCCAGAAGAGGAGAGGCTAAACACTTGAAGATGAGAAAATTGATCTCTGTTGGAGCTCTGAAGGGGCCGAAGGGATTTTTGCTACATCAAATGATGAAAAATATTATTTCGGAATCCAGAAACATATTGGACCACCACAGGATGTTTCCCAGTTTTCTGTTTTACAAATACATAAAGATTGAAAAGTTTATAATCCAAAGTTACTTAGTGTGGACCTTGAAGATTGAAAAGAGCACATATAAAGAGCCAGTTGATTTTGAGCAGTGGATTGAAGATAATGTTGTACACACAGGGAAGCTGTTTGAAAATAAAGAAATTGTGGCTCACGATGGCTTTTCTACTTACCTAAGATTCATAATTATACCAGCCTTCAATCATTTTGCAGCTGTGTGTAGCATTTCTGCAGAGAGACTGGCAGTCTCAAATTTTTCTTGGTAATTATAATAAAATGCCCTTGCATAATTTTTAACATTATATTTKAACGTGAAGTTGTCATTGATATATTTTATTAAAAGAATTTGTATTTAAAAAGTGTCAGAGAAAAAAAATCAGTCACCATGGAGATAAAGGGTATGCATGGGACAATGACAACTGAGGACATTAATTGACATGGCCTCTGAGAACAGCTAGAACTTCAAGGTTTATGATCAAGATGGAAAGTTTGCTTCAGAGAACCAGCAATACAGTAGCTTTGGGCCAATTTGCTGTCAGGCAGAGCCCTGGATTCAGACTGCCAGATGATGTTTAAGTGACTGAACAAAGCCTTTTTATGAGCAAAGTCGATATGGTGTCCTGCACTCTAGACATCTAGTTTGTATTTATCAGAAACTGGGGAAATGTCACAGGAAAGTTAATTGGCCTTTGGGCGCAATAATGTTCACTACCAGGATTGCTAGAGAGGAGAGGTGGAGCCTGAAAGGCTGGTGGCTGGAAGGGGCTCATCTCCCTCATCTGGTCCTTTGAGGCTGCTGAACTGAGTATGGGGCATACTTTGGAATTTATTGTGCTGCTGCTAGGCAAACTCTACTTGCAAGAAAGATCAGTTCAACTAGGAATTTCTAGGCCTATAATAACATGTGACTCAAAATAACCAGTGGGAATTCTTGGCAGAGTTATCAACTTTTTATTGAATCTCTTTCATGCACACACAGGCCCAGGCACACATGCCTTGTGATGTTGGTTTCCTGTCCTATCAGAGTCCTCTCCGCCCTGAAGCTGGGAAGACATGAAGGTCTGATGCCCAGAGTGGACAGCACTCGAGGCCAGGGTCGGAGGCATCCCTGTGTGTTCTTCAGCTCCCGTCTACCCCAAGGAGGCGATTGAGGAAAACTGCCTTCAAACTGGGGCCTGAATCTCTCCAAATGTTGTCTTGAACCTCAGTCCTTCAGGTACACAGCAGCACCCTTCCCTGTCCCCAAAGGGCCTGCCTAGATCTGCACTGCCCTCCTTCCCTGCCCCCCATGGCACCTCACTCTGCCCCCCTGCCCAGTGCTTCCTGAGCTCAGGGCTTCAGCCCCAGGGTCCAGGCAGGCAGCCCTGAGGAATGCTGGGCCACAGCCCTCCCTCTGACAGGTGGCCAGTCAGAGAGCTCAGGATTCCAGACTCTTCTCCCTGCTGAATGCTGTTAGGTTTCACATCACACGCTCCATCCTGTCTGCTTTTAAAACTGATCTAAGGTGACTTCCAGGCATGTCTGGCACACAGTCCCCACCCCTGCAGGGCACCGGCTCACCTTTCATGAAAGGTATCCCCAGCAGGCCTCTGGGCTTCTGTCCCAGCTCCCAGCCTGGCCTACAAGGTTCCCACCCCGAGCTCTGGCTTCCTCCCCATCCACATCTCTCTTGCCCCCGCCTCTCCAGCACTCACCCCCAGGCTCTCCCTTCCCTGGGACTGTGACATTCCCCCAAACCAGCTTCTCCCTGGGCCAGGGCCCTGCCAGGCCTTTCTTCAGTCTTTATACCTTGTTCCTTCATCCTCATTCCACGCTTGCTAATTTTTGGTTCTCACTAGATGTTAAGCTCCTTGGTGGCCAAGGCCTCGGCATGTGCAATATACTATTTTATCCCAAATGCCTGGCACACAGTAGGTGCCAAATAAATGCTGAATGAATCAATGAATGACTCATCCATGAATTCCTGGGAATAGGTTGTGACTTCTTGTGGGGATACAAGATGGTCACATAAAGAAAAGTTAAGGAGGGGTACTGGGATCAGAATCAGAATGTGTATGTTTTATTTTCCTTAATTTATTTTTGAGACAGGATCTTGCTGTCACACAGGTTGGTCCTGAATTTCTAGGCTCAACTAATCCTCCCATCTCAGCCTCCCAAGTAACTAGGACCATAGGGACATGCCACCATGCCTGATAAGACATCTACATTTTAAAAGCACATGCTTGGGCTGGGGATGTGGCTCAAGCGGTAGCGCGCTCACTTGGCATGCGTGCGGCCTGGGGTTCCATCCTCAGCACCACATACAAACAAAGATGTTGTGTCCGCCGAAAACTAAAAAATAAATATTAAAAATTCTCTCTCTCTCTTAAAAAAAAAGCAGATGCTTCTCTCTCTCTCTCTCTCTCTCTCTCACACACACACACACACACACACACACACACACATGTACACCCACATGCACATGAATACCCTATGGAGGGTCAGGACCAGGGAGGCCCTAGGAAGCGGCCTGCTATTCTGTAGCCGGCCTCTCTGACTCCACACTGTCCCAGCCAGAGTTCTTTTGGAGATCTTGGAAGAAAAGCTGCTGCTGGAGGCTCCTCAGGTCCTGCAGAAGCTCAGGAGACAGCTGCTCAGCTGACTTCCCTAGGTCCTGTTCTTCCTCCTCCTCCTCCATTTCCCCAAGCCCATCAGGGGGCTGTGGGGAGCTCCTGGAGATGTAGCCCTGGTCCGACTGCACGGACTGCCGCTGCTCCTCCTCACAGGGTATGGAGGGGTCCTTGAGGACAAGGGCAGGGTCTTCCCATGCACCCTGGGCCTGGCTCTTCAGACTCTGCTGCAGAAGTGAGAGCATCAAGCCCCCCAGCTGCTCCCTCACGCCATCGGGGAGGTGGCCAGGTGACGCCACTGGAGTGCTGCAGAGAGGCGAGTCCTCAGGGTCCCCGGGGAGGAAGAGGAGGCTCTTTCTCTGGAGGCCACGATCCTCCAGCAGGGGGCAGGCCTCGCCCTCCTCCACCCAGGTCAGCCGGCTGGCCACGCTGCTGTCAGAAAGAGGAACCAGCTCCACGGCACAAGCAGCAGGGACCTGCTCTCTGGGGAGCACCACAGTTTGGATGGCCTCCCCCTGGGGCTGCAATTGGGGTGCCACCCTGGACATCCCCCTTCCTTCCTCACCCACACATAAATCTACCCTCAGGCAGCCCTTGGAGGCAGGTTCCCGCACCAGGGGCTTCTGCCTGACCATCCCGCTCCCCGGCGGCTGCAGTGGCTCCTCAAACACTTCTTCGTCCAGGGACGGGAGGTTCTGGTCATCCGCGGAGCAAAGGTTCTCATGTTCAAACCAGTCAGGGCACTGGGTCTGCCACTCCCGGAACTTCTCCACGGCCTCCTTGAGCTGCCGGCCACTGGGGCTCTGCAGGTAGTTGTCCCCTGTGAGCTCCTGGAGGCGGTGCATCCGGCCAGGTTCAAACATCTCCAGGTCCTGGATCCGGAAGTAGACCTCCTCTAGCTTGTCCATAAGGGGGTACCTGGAGGTGATGTGGAAGAGGTCAGGGACGTCGCTCTCACTGCTGATGCCAGTGAAGTAGCAGATGATGTAGGTGCCAAAGCAGGCTGGCTTCTTGAAGTCTGGCAGGATCATGTTCATGGCTGCTGTGAAAAGGTCCCCAGTGGGCGGGGTGGTGGGTTCATCCTCCCTCAGCCTCCTGAGTAGCTGGGATTATCAGCATGCATCACCATGGCAGGCAGGATGATGACTGGGAGTTGTTTACCACTTCCTGCTTCTGGTTGCCCACCAAGGTCCTGACCCCTACTTCTGAGATGACCTGTTTTTCCAGGAGGTTGAGGGACATTTCAGCACCACAGGGGCTGATCAGAAACAGAGAACTTTGTTAATTTGTTTTCTCAGCTTTTTTTTATTGGTTCTTTTCAGTTATACATGACAGTAGACTCCATTTTGATAAAATTATATAAGCATGGAATATCTTATTCTAATTAGGACCTCATTCTTGTGGATGGGCATAATGGTGGGATTCCTTAGATATTTTCATATGTATATATAGGAAAATTATGTTAGATACATTCTGTTTTTCCTATTCCTATCCCCACTCCTTTTCCTTCATTTCCCCTTTGTCTAATCTACTGAACTTCTCATCTTCCCCCACCCCTTTATTGTGGTTTAGCTTCCACATATTAGTGAAAACATTTGACCTGTGGTTTTTAGGAATTGGCTTATTTCACTTAGCATGATAGTCTCCAGATCCATCTGTTAACTGGCAAATGTCATAATGCCATTCTTTATGGCTGAGTAATATTTCATTTGTGTATATAGGCCAAAATGTCTTTATCCATTCTTCTGTTGAAGTGCACCTAGGTTGGTTCTATAGCTTAGCTATTGTGAATTGTGCTGCTATAAATATTGAAATGGCTACAACACTGTAGTGTGCTTATTTTAAATCCATTGAAATATATACCGAGGATTGGGATAGCTGGGTTATACGGTGGTTCCATTTCTAGTTTTTGAGGAATCTCTATACCACTTTCCAGGGTGATTGTACTAATTTGCAGTCCCATCAACAATGTATGAGTGTATCCTTTTTCTTCCACATCCTTGTCAACATTTATTGTTGCTTGTATTCTTGATAATGGCCATTCTGACTGGAGTGGGATGAAATCACTTCCATTTTAATTTGCATTTCTCTAATTTCTAGAGATGTTGAACACTTTTTAATATATTTGTTGATCATTCATATTTCACAGGTCATTGTGAAGTGTCTGTTTAGTTCCTTTGTCCATTTCTTGATGGCATTTTTTTGTTTTTTGGTGTTACATTTCTTGATTTTTTTTTTTTTTGCATATCCTGGAAAATAATGCCCTGAGGTGCAGGTGGCATTTAGATATAAATTTAGAGGTAAACCAATTTAGAGGTAAACCAATGTACCATTTAGAGGTAAACCAATCTGGATCTTGGCTTATTTTTCATCCAAGGTCAGGGACATTGATCCTAAAAGCTAGGAGGTCCTGAAGTAATACATACCAAGCTCTGGAAGAAAATGGATGTGAACCAAAAATAGTATGTCCAGCAAAATTAAGCTGAATATTTGAAGTGGTGGGCCAGGTGGTGAGTTGGGTGAGCCAGGAGGGTCCAGTGGGCTAGGGGAGCTAGTAGAGACGGTGACCTCTAGGACCACGGTCACGGAGCGTGGATGGTGGGCTCCTCGGATGCGCCAGACTTTCCCGGGGATGAGGGGTTGGGAGGGTCAGTTCATCAGCAGGGACATCTAGGGAAGACAAGAGAAGCAAGGCCACTTGCTTGATCCCCACACCCAGACTCCAGGTGGAGCCCCTGCTGGCCAGTCTGTGAGGGACCTGGACCCAGTGCCGAGCTTGACTCCCTAGCCTAATAAATGCCACCATTTCTTAGGCCGTTGAGGATAAGCCATTGGGGATAAGCCAAATGTTGCTTGTTTGGGATGCCTGAAAAAAATCAGCTTGGTGTCTCTCTCTCACCATCCTATCTGCCTTTAAGTTGATCCTTTAAACATTTTAATTGGAAAAAGGGGCACAAAGACTTGGCTATGGAATAGAGGTGTCTGCTCAAGGAAGGACCTTTTTTTTTCACATAATGCAATAGATTCAACATCCTTTCCTTGTCTGATTGAAAACATGGTATACCAGAACTTTCTTTTTGGGTGGCCCGAAAAGCCCTCTATGTGGAGTGGTGGAAGGTAGGTCCAAAATGTGGGTCTCTTGAAGGGACTCAGGAACCACGGCATACATCTGATGTAACCATGCATCTATCAGAGTTTGTTTGTTTGTTTGTTTGTTTTTCCTAGCCTTGCATAGCTAGGAAAGCACTCTACCATTGAGCTACACTTCTGTTCCCAAGCTAGAAATTTAGACTTTAATTTTAATCCTCACTCTTGGGGATTCATATCAGAACTACCAGAAGACACTCTGATAACTACTGAGGATTTTCCTGGGATAGATGGCAATTCAGGAAAGTCACAAATGCCATAGCAGCTGGTGGTATAGTTCAGACACTTGAAGTATGTGTCTCCTCTTTGAATTAAAATCAAACCAAGGGGCTGGGGTGTAGCTCAGTGGTAGGGAGCTTGCCTCACAAGTGTGAAACAACTTCCCAGATGACAGAAGAAACAGCCTAGAGTCACAGTGGGGCAGGGGAAAACTGAGTCTCCTAACCTATGCCACATGCTCTCCTTGACTAGCATTTGACCAGCAGAGGAGTGCAGAGGGAGAAGGAACTGCTATGTACTGATGCCCACCAGCAGGTACCTTTCTTGGTATCTCATTTAATCCCAACAGAGCCCTGAGAGAGGCATTACTATATCATTCTATAGAAAAGAAAATGGAACCAAAAATTTGTTAAGTAACTTGCCTATAACTGCAAAGCTGGTGAGTACAGCAGGGTTTGCAGCTGTGGGTTCAGGGTCCAGAGACTGAGACATGCTGCCATGCTGTGTTATTCTCCCTGACCATGTACACACAAGTCTGAGGGCCACAGGATGGGGTCGTTCTGCTGTTCCATCTGCCTGGTGGATCAATCCTGATGCAGGGGAATTTTCTCTAGTTTCTTCAAACCCATTGATTTTTCAATAATACTATTTTTAATAATGATATAACTGGCTAATAGCTCTTAAGTAAATATCATGTGCCAGGTTCTGAGCTAAGAATTTGTGTGCGTTATTCCACTTAATCCTTTTAGTAGCCTGACGATGTGGGTATCATTATCATTGTCATTTTACAAAAGAGGAACCTGAGGCACAGAGAGTCAAGTGATCTTCCCAGAGAGTGGTGAAGCTGGTCTTTGCGTCCAGGTTCAGCCAGACACCTCATTCTAGGTTCCTGACCACGGTAGTTTAAGAGAGGCAACTATAGTCACTGAGATTGAGATCACAGAGCTGGATTGCAGGGCACCCTGTGAGCACAGACTTACAGAGAAGGTCTAGGGGTAAGGCTGATGCCGGAAGGAGAAGGAAGGACACAGGGAGAAGTTAGCATCAAAGGGGAAGCCCCCACCAGCCCCAGAGCCTCTGGCACTTACCATGTTGCCTCCAAGTTGTGCATTTGGTCTTCAGGAAGACGGAGCCCACCAGCATGATGAAGCCCACCAGGAAGATGAAGCCAAGCACCCACAGRGGTATATACTCTGTGGTGAGCAGAACAGCATGAGTGACAGCAAGGGTCCCAGCGCCATTCCCCAGTCCCTGGCTCTGTCCTCTCTGGCCTGCACCAGGACACACTGAGTCTCAGGGTCAGCCTTGTCTGCCTGGCTGGGTACAAGGCTCAGTCAGGAATCCCTCTGACCCCTGGGGAATGTGGGAAGGGGTCTGAGCTTACCTGCAATTGTGACTGCAATTAGAACAAAAGAAAAAAGAGAAAAGAGTGTTCTTAATTATTAGCAGTGATTACAAAATCACTGATGTCCACGGAGGGCCTAACCCTAACCCTATGTCCAATACTTTGGATATGGGTCAAAAGTAA